TGGAGTACCTACTGTGTTACAAAAGGCATTAAACACACAGGTTTTCTGTGATTCTGAGGACAGGTCCAGTAACACTTCATGACAGATTTGGATGCAGAAATCTTAGACTTTGGTACCTTTAGTGAGTGAGACAGATTTAAAGGTGGAAACCACAGGAGAGTAATTGATGCTGATGCATGCCTCAGCTGAGTATTGCTAGAATCATCAGGATGACATGTTATTTACTGATATCCCACATTATTAACCAAATCACATTGATCTGATTATTAATCAGTGGAGATGTCATGCCAGCACAGAGCAAGAAATTGCTATTTGCAAGAAGATGTGATGGAGCTGCACTTTTCCTGTGTACTTTTGACTGTGACCAAACAGGTCTAACACTTTGCTTGCTGTAGAGCTTTCCTGGCAACTGTAATAGATACAGAAAAACCATAAACCCAAAATCATCCGCCCCTTTGCAAAGCTGCTGAAGCACTCTGATCCCTTGTGAGGCAGTGCCACAGGGGAGCAGTGCTGGGGAGCCAGCTCTGGGTCCAAGCTGTGCACCCAAGCTTTGGATGCAATGCATGGAGGCTATTAGACACCTCCAAAGCAGGCTTTACAAAAGCTGACACTGTGGTAGCTAAGAGGAAAGGCTGGGAAGAAGGCATTAAGCCTAAACCCCATGGAATTTTACGCTTTGCTCGAGGCCAGACTTGCAGCAAAGCGTCTCTGAGGAGCTGGCACGGCATCAGAGCAGAAATCTGTGACACAAAAAAGAGAGGAGGAAATCCTTCTCATTTTCCCCCACTCTTCTAACACCACACAGTGATTAGAGCACTTAAGCTGTGTGTCAGAGACTCACTTTTTACAAATGGCATTAGGATTTTTGTGGCTCTGTACCCTGCAGCAGTGTCTTAGTGCCCTGGGAAATACCCTGATCTGACAGCCTAAGGCATGCAGGCCTCCAGGACTAGCCCTGACTGAAAGTGGAGAGGAACAGGTGTGGATTTTATGTATGTATTTTTGTCACCAGGGGCATAAATTCCCTGTGCTGGAGATATCAGTATGTTACAAACATACATGTATGAGTGCTCCATTGTGGTTTCTGCCTCAGTTGGGAGAGTCATTGCCCGGGTTTGTCAGATTGAGTAGATTTAGTTCAAGATACCACCAAAGGAAAAGGGCAGAAAAAAACATCTCAGGACCATAGCTAGAAACTGGACTGTGAAAATAGATAAATAAAGAGTCAAGTTTCGATGCTCATTTTGGTGGGGATCTTGGCAGGAATACATGAACAACTGTTACTCAAAAAAACACCACCACTCTCAAATGTTGTGCAGGTTTGGGGAGCAAAGATCTGATTCATTATGTACTCTTAATGCAGGAAAACCAAACATTAGAGGGGAGAGTGAAGTGTGAGAGACTGGTTAGGGAGATCAGAGTGAGGGGCACTGAGAACCTGGGGTGGAGACCTTGCTTGAGAGGAGGCATCTGGCAGAAGGCAGAGCAGAAGGCCAGGCTGCTACAGCTGCCAGCAGTCACCCAAGTACAATGAATGATCAGGGTTTAAAGTGCATTCCGTGGCATCCCAGGCATTTGGAAAGGACTGTATTGGAGAATCTACTCTTAGCCCATCACCAATTAAAACTAAGATGTCTCTTAATAATGTGCTAAAATATTGTCTTTCTCTAGTTATGTTGTGATTTTATTGTGCTGCTTGAGATTTCATTGTGCTGCTTGAGGAGCAAGCCTGTAATATATATGGATGGGACACAAGACCCAGTGAAGTTGTTCGGGGATGAGGATGCCACTTAACCACAGCTCTGTGGAGAACTGCAGTCACTGTGTGCACCAGGGGAGTGAAGCTACATAAGCCTGGGCTAAGATTGAGGCTGAGGAAGCCTAGTGCCCATAAAAGCTGCTGCCTAACTTCTCACTAACAGCACACTAGTGAGGGCAGGACAGACTCAGTAAAGATGGGAAGCAGTTATCCCTGCTGCCTGGGAGAGCCTCACTGCACGTGACCTGACTCGCTCCAAACCCTCCAGGTTTGGAGGATGTGTCTTTCTGTTAAAATATCACGGGGTGCTTCAGTAGTATTTTCCATCCTGCCAATCTACAGCCTAAGAAATGACCATGTATCTATGTAGAGCACTAAAAGCTGGAGCCACAGCAGAGACCCTTATCTGGAACAGGCTACGAACCTGCCTTTGCTGCAGGGAGCCTCACAGGACTCCACTTGGGCTCAGTAAAGAAGGCAGGTCATTTTTCCTGGTGGCAGCAGGAAGAGTGGGAGGATGGCAGCAGGGCCTCCTGGCTACAAGGTGGGATGACGAGATGGGAGCACTGGGAAACCCTTGTTTTGACATGGAAAGTGCTGAGAAGACTTCTGGGATAGCATCACCTTTGCATCTTGGCTCCTCTATTCCTGTGGCATCCCTGGCAGAGCTGCACACCATGCCACCCCATGCAGCTGGAAGGTCCTGGATCCTGGTAATCACTTTAGGGATTTCCACAGCTCTCCTGCACCTCAGTTCAGTGTTACCAGCCCAATGCCAGCTTGCTCACCTTAGTGTTCAAGTACTTTAAATTTGGGATGCTGTTTTTCAAGCTGTGAATTTGAGTTATTATTTGCATTGTATAGCTGTGGGATACAACATTGCTGGCTTTCCTTTGTTTCTCCTCCTCAGTGTTTAACAGCTTGCCTTTTCAAAACTCCCATGGTGCTGGACTGATTTTTGGTTTGCCATCTTGGGGGCCGCTTCAGTGAAGCTCTCAGCTGCCAAAGGTCAGGCATGCCATAGAAATGCCTATTAATAGGCCTTAGGTGCTGGTTGTGTCTAAACCGGCATTTCTTGGAAAGAGAAATATTTCTTGGAGGCCGGTGGCTCTCTGGACTGCTGTATAGGTTCAGGGCCAGACTGCCATCCATAGGGTGTCCCTGTGCAAGGATGCCTGCTGCGACTGGGGACGCAGGGTGCAGGGGGATAGTTTAGGGAAGAAAACAGCTGTTTAGCCACTGCTACGTGTAGAACGAAGAGCGTGCGCTTGCCGCTGACACGCTGCGTGCTCAGCCAGTGAGAGCCCTGGGAGCTGTCTCCTGCAGCCGGTGCCGCCGGCTCCCCGGGGAGCTGGGCAGCATCTCTGTAGGCATGGGCAGCTCTCCCCTTCCAAGGGGTGTCCGGGCGCCTTTATTCCGGGGAAACACAGATGTTTAAAATAGGATTTCAGACGGCCTAAGTGACGCCGGCTCTATGTATAGTCCGCGTCTCGGAAAGCCCGCAGGACCGGGGCCCGTGCCGGGATGCGCAGGGCCAGCTCCCCCGCCGTGTCCGGAGCGGCTGCCCTGTGCCGCGGGGGGAGCTGAGCCCGGGCCGACCCCTCCGCCCCCCGGCGGCGATGCCCGCCCCGGCCGGGAGCCGGCGTGACGGGCGGAGGAGGGCACGGGAGAGGAGCGGAGGGGAGGGGAGGGCACGGAGGGGAGGGCACGGAGGGGAGGGCAGGGCGTGGGCGCCGCCGCCCCCCCGTCCCGCCGGCACGTGCCTGCCCGCCCCCGCTGGCCACTGCCGCGCCCCGACGGCCCCGGCATGGACGCGCCCGGCCAGCGGCCCGCCAGCCCCCGAGCCGGCCCGGAGGGCGCGGCGGCGGCGGAGCGGGACCCGACCCCAAACCCGAGCCCGAACCCCGGCCCGGAGGCGCCCGTCCAGGAGGTGAGGGAGGCGGCGTACGTGGAGATCCGCGGCTCGCCGCAGGGGCCGGAGGAGAGCCGCCAGAAGCCCGATCTGGCCCCGGCCGGCGGCGCGGAGGGAGCGTCCGGTCCCGCACCGGACAGCGGAGCCGGCGGGACCGGGGATGGCGACTCGGCGAGCGGCGGACCCCCGGCGGAGGAAGCGGGGCCAGCATCCTCGGACCGCGGGCGGGATCGCCCTCCTTCCCCGGCGGCGGCGGCGGAATGCGGCGCTGACACCGGCCCCGGCTCCGCGGAAGCGGCGGGGAGCGGCGGGACGCCGGAGGCGGGGGGCTGCCCGGAGTCCTCCTCCTCCTCCTGCCCTTCGCCCGTGACCAAGGCGGACGACTCTCCCGCAACGGGCGACCCGGTGTCGACGGAGGGCAAAACCTCCTCGTCGTCCTTCGGCTACGAAAGCGAAGTGGAGGATGAGGTCGCGGGGCGCAAGGCGACTCCCCCCGGCGCCCCCCCGGGCTCCCCTCCCGGCGGCGGCCGCGACGAGGCGCACTATATCAGCACGCAGGAGATCCAGCTCAGCGAGGTGGACCACGACATGGACTTCGACGCGGGGCTGGCCGCCCGCTGGGACTTCGAGGATAACAACGTGATCTACTCCTTCGTTGACTACGCCTCCTTCGGGAGCGACGAGACCCCGGGGGACACGCTGACGGAGGAGGAGGAGAATAGCTGCTACCTTAGCACGACCACCAGCGACCCCAACAACCAGACGGACAGCATCGACAACACCAGCAGCACCGAGATCGTCAGCCTTACCTCCGAACACGACACCCCCGGCGCGGACAAGCGCGCCAGCTCGGGGGAAAGCCGGTCCAAGCAGCCCGGCCGCCCCGGCGGGAGCCCGGGCGCCCAGCTTCTCCTATCAATCAAAGCCGCTTCCCGGGCTATAAATGAGTCTAGCAACGTGCACGGAAAGCAAAACACTGTTTACGCTGCCAAGCATGAAGGCGACATGAGTCTCCGTGTCGCCGCGGCTCCCGACCGCAGTGCGAGTTTAAAACAGGATGCGCTCCGCGACCACGCGAAAAAGTTCATCGCCGTGCCCGCGCGGCTGCAGACGCGCTGCGGGGCCGCCAGGGCAGGGGAACACTCGAGCGGCGCCTCCAGCGCCGTCAGCGAGCTGGACGATGCCGACAAAGAGGTGCGAAACCTTACGGCCAGGGCTTTCCGCAGCCTGGCGTACCCCTACTTCGACACCCTGCGCCCCGGCTCCCGCGCCTCCTCCGCCTCCCTGTCCGACAATGTCCTGGGCATCAACCGCTGGTCCACCTACCTGGACCTCAAGTGCGGCTCTCTGGGGCCGAGAGCCGACCCCAGCCTGCTGCGCTCCGGCCGCTCGCAGACCAAAGCCCTCGAGTTCGTGGTCAGCAAGCTCGACGGGGAGATCGCACACGTCGAAACGCCGCGGCGGCTGCGGGCGGGCTCCCGGGTGGTGACCCTGCTGGACCTCGGCGATGCCGCCGAGGCCGGGGAGCCGCCGGCGGCGGAGGGCGGCGGGAAGGGCTCCAGCAAGAAGTCCAGGTTCGCCTCCAGCCTCCTCAAAAACGTCATCTCCAAGAAGATGCAGCTGGAGCACGAGTTCAAGATGGAGCGGGGCGAGATCACCGACACCTCCTACACCGGGCCGGGCGCGGGCCGGGAGCCCGAACCCCCCGGCGGCGGCGCCGGCCGGGAGCGGCACCGGGAGGGTGGCGTGCAGCGGCAGAACTCGCGGCACTCGGAGGGCGGCTCGGACGGCGCCGCGGCGCCGGCGGAGGATGCGGGCGAGGGCGGCGGGGGCCGCTCCCCGGCCTCCAAGGCGTCGCCGGCCCGCGAGGGGAACCGCAGCCTGGACCGGGCGCTGTCCGAGGAGCTGTGCGAGGTGAAGCGCAGCGCCTCGGAGGCCATCAAGGCCACCTTCCTCCGCAGCCAGAACAGCGCCTTCAGGTCCTGGAAGGAGCGGGAGGCGGAAAGGAAGGAGGAGAGGGCGCCCGTCGGCAAGCTGAAACTTTCTCCCAAGAACGACTGGCGAGCCGACCTGGGTGAGATCTCTGCCGGCAAGTCCACCAAGATGTCCCGCCTGTTCGTGCCCGCCATTCAGCACACCCCTCGCGAGAAGGATCCCGGCAAGAGGGCGATCAAGTGCTCCGCCGCCGCCGCCGCCGTGTCCTCGGCCGCCGCCTCGCCCCCCGCCGCCAAGCCCAAAGCGCCCGAGATCAAGATCAGCCTGGGCAGCGTGCAGCAGCCCCGGGACGCCGCTTTCAGCATCGCGCAGCTGCTGACGCCGCAGATCGCAGGCCGGCCGCCCGAGGAGGGCAGGGGGCAGCCGCTCAAGCCTCTCAAGGCCGGCGACGGCACCGACAAAGTGCCGCAGTTCCTGGTGCGCGACGTGAGGGACAGCAAGTACAGAGCGCAGGGGATCCTCCACCAGGTGCGGGACGTGCGGAAGCTCATCAAAAGCTCCTACAGCGCTGACTCGGGAGATAACAGCAGCGACAAGGGCAGCGGCGCCTCCGAGCAAGGCGGCGCGGAGCAGAAGCCCCGGCAGCAGCTGGTCATCGCCGGTGTGCCCCGGGCGCTCTCCCCCGTGGTCATCACCTGCCAGGCGGTCGGGCACACCGGCGCCAAGCCCACCGAGGCGGGGGCCAAGGCGGCGGGCAAGGCGCCCGCCTGCCCCCCGGAGGGCACCGTGCTGGTGCACCGCACCTCGGGCAGGCTGCCAGTGGCCACCATCGCCCCCAACAAGAGCGATGCTCGCCAGCCCGCTGTGCTCAAGATCGTTTCCAAATCCTCCGCGCCCTGGCGGCACCAGCCGCCGCCGCCGCCGCCCCCCGAGAGGGGCCGGGGACCGGAGGAGGACCCGCGGGAGGAGAGCAAGGCGGCGCCGGTGCAGAACGCGCTGGAGAAGCTGACGGCGGCGGTGCGGAGCATGGAGGAGCTCTACAGCTTCAACAAGCGCGAGTGGAAGCGCAAGAGCGACCCTCTGCCCATCACCGACAGCCACGTCCTCTCCCTTATCGCCAGCCAGGAGCGGGGCGCCGGCTCCCGACCCGCCGCTGCCGCCGCTGCGCCCCCGCCGCCGTCGGCGGACAAGGCGGAGGAGCCGTCGGGGGGCAAGGGCGCGGGCAGCGAGCGGCTGCCCCGCCGCCCCTCCAACAGCGCCGCCGACAAGGTCTCGGCCAAGGCGGCCGCCTTCGAGAGCCTGGCCCGGCAGCGGCAGCGCGGCCCGCCGCCGCCCCGCACCGAGCCGCCCGCCGCCCCCCGCGCCCTCCTCACGCTCCGCGGGGCGGGCGGAGCCGCGGCCCCCGCGCCCGCCAAGCTCCCCCCCGAGGGCGGCCCGCGGGCCCCGGCACCGCCGCGCTCCCCTCGGCTGCCCGCGGGCGGCGGCGGCGGCGATGCGGAGCGCGGCCCCGACTGCGGGAACTATCTGTCCCTGCCGCTGAAGGCCGCCGAGCCCGGCTCCCCCCCGGCCGCGGCGGCCACGGAGGGCGGCGGCGTCCGGCCCAGCCCGGTGTCGGCGTCAGCGGCGGCGGCGGCGCTGTGCGGCCTGCAGCCCTTCGGCGCCGCCAAGCCCCCCGGCAGCCCCAGACCGCCGCCCGGACCCCCGCCCGCCGAGGAGCCCCCCGCCGCCGCCCCGCCGCCCGCCGAGGGTGCGCCCGCCGCCCTGTACCGCCCGCCGCTGCCCTTCGCCGCCCTGCCCGGCGCCGCGCCGCCGCCGCTGCTCTGCTTCTCGCCCTCCGTGCCCGCCGCCGCCACCGCGGCCGAGCCCTTCCCGCAGACGCAGCGCAAGGTGCTGCTGGACGTGAGCACCGGGCAGTACTACCTGGTGGACACGCCCGTGCAGCAGCCCCTCAAGCGGCGCCTCTTCGACCCCGAGACCGGGCAGTACGTGGAGGTGCCGGTGCCCCAGCAGCCGGCCGTGGCTCCCGTCCCGCTGCCTCTCTCGCCCCTCGCCCTCAATGCCGGTGCCTACGGCGCCACGTACATGCTGTACCCCGGGCTGCTGCCCGCGGCCGCCGTGCTGCCCGCCGGAGCCCTGCAGCGCCCGCTGTCGCACTCGGGCAGCGACGGCAGCGCCCCCGCGGAGCCCGGCAGCCCCGCCGCGCCGGAGGCGGCGTTCCCCGACAGCCCCTACTACGTGGCCGGCAGCAAGGGCCCGCCGCCGCCGCGGCACGGGCCGGCCGAGGCGAAGCCCGTCATCAGCATCACAGCGCCGGCCACCGGGCCGCGCATCGTCGCGCCGCCCTCCTTCGACGGCACCACCATGCGCTTCGTGGTGGAGCACCGGTGAAGAGCGCGGTGAGTGAGTGGGTGCTGCCTGCCGGGCACGGCCGTCACCGGGAGCGGGCAGGGCAAAGCGGGTTAATGGCCAAGTGGCAGCAGTGCCACAGCTTCTCCTCAGGGGGAGAGAGGGTTCACAAAGCGGCCCTCACTAGGGTGTAAAATATAGAAAGGTCAGGCACACCCCTTGGTGCAGTTCGGTAAAACTTGGAGCTTCTTTTCTTGGCCGTTTCAGAGAAGCACACCATAGCCACTCATCACACAGCCTGTATTTGTGCAGCCCTATGGCCGGGGCACCTCCCATTGCTCCCGGGGATGGCAGTGTGGTTGGGCATCTCTGGATCCATCATCTGGACCCACCTTGCAAGCCATGAAAGAGCCCCTTCACCTTGGCATCACGTTCTCCTCTTGTCTCACCTCTCACCTCTTCCTCCCAAGAGGACGTGGGCACCTCTCTCTTTCCCCTGTACCTGTTTCTCCCTAAGCTCAAGAGGAGTGGGAGAGGGGTCTAATGGAAGCAAACCCTTATTTTGGGTCCTTCTTGTTAGTGGGATGAGGGAGCAGGATGTATGGAGCAGGCCCAGGTGAGCTCTCCTGGAGCCATAGGGCTGCCGGCAGGGGCAGAGGTGCCCACAGCTGCAAAGCACGGTTTTACACAGCAGCTCTGAGCTTGTAGTGCCAGAGTCCTGACAGTGCCCAGCTACCTGGGGCTGTAACCCAGGGCCAGCCTCCAGATTCAGGGATGTGCCTGCAGGGACACTGAGTACCTGTCCTGGAGCACAGGACTGTGCATACAGCATGCACTGAAACCAGTGGTGCAAAACAACCAAGGAATGATGGCATTTCATTTTAAAAGACCTGAAATGTTACAGAAGTGCCTTCAGGACTGGTGTCATTGCTCCTTCTGCCCCTTGCATTAGAACGCATGGCTCACCTTCATCACGTGCAGTATTAGGCAAATGTTGGCTGCCAAATCTTCCATGGCTTACCAAGAATTCACAGAGTCAGTTTTTTTGGTATATATGAAAAGGCAAAGAGAAAGAGTGGAAGAGTGGCAACAGCCAGAAATTTGGGTTTGTCACCAGTTTGGGCTGAGCTTTGCCCAGTTGCGTGCTTGAGGGCAAATTTTGTCTTCCAGCACTTGGGTTATTTATTTTGCTTTAAAATATATATTTTTTTTTTTTAGTTTGCATCATCTACTACATAGTAAATTATTTGTTGAATGAAACATTATTTATGTGATTTATACACTTGCTTCTCTGCTTGTAATTATTTTATCTTGAAAGTTCCATTCTTTTATCTTGGCTGTGGAGGAAGTTGTTTTCATTGGCCCTTATGGATCACTCAGGACAGGCAACATGCCAGTTTAACTTGAGCTCTGCTGTGCTGCTTGAGTTCATCTTGCCAGGAAAATCTAGAACCTAGATGGAATGGCAAAAAGTAGTTCATTATTTTCTCTTTAGTCTGGAGGCTGGATTGAGGTGGCTAGCAGAAGGAATTTGTTAGATTTCAGATTAGAGATGTGATGTTTTTGAAAAGATAGGGTGTATAGTACATGTATTTGTAAGAGTAACTAAACAAAACCCTTCAGCTTTTCTTGTGTCTTTTTCACTCTTTAATAGTGAAAAACATCATATTTCCTGGTGTGCCCTGCCCCTCAGTTCCCAAAGGGTTATCCTGTTACCATGTTTTTAGCTTGCCTTCAGTGCCTGGTGAGGCAGGTGATGCTCTCACCAAATTGCTGTTTCTCCCTGGTGAAGTTAAAACAGCAGCCCTGCTTTGTTGTGCTGTGTCAGAGCTCTACACTGCAGAACTGTGTGAAAGCTGCCCCAAAACGCTGGTGGTGCATGCTCAGTACAGAAGGTCATGCAGCACTGTGCAGCCTTGAGTTTCATTTCACCATCCTGATCAATCTTTGATCGTGCCAAGGCATTTGTTGTCCAATACAGACAGGGGTGCTCCCATGGGCTGTCTCAGACCTGCTGAGGGAGGTGTCCTGCTGCTGGACAATGGATGCACTTTTTTCCCTTGACCTGTTCTGACAGTCTTGAAAGAAATAATTTTACCAGCATGCTGCAGGATGTGTTTAACTTGTCATTAGACTTTGGTTATTTCTTACCATCTTATGTCTCTGTGGAAAATTAGGTATATGCCACTGAGGAATCACATCTGTAGCCTTCTTCTTCCTGTTAGTTTCATTCACCTACATAACTTTCATGTCCCTGTGGATAATTTTTCATCTTCTTCTCTCTTTTGATGTCTACTTTTGTTTTCCATTATTTTCCTTTATC